TGTTTCGTTCTGCTGTGCATAAGGTTGCTATGAGTCGGTACCAACTCGATGGCACCCAACAACAACAACAACAAGACTTACCTCCTCCTCCTCCTTGGAAAGGGGCCTATTATACTCACTGTATATGGGGATCTGGAAAACGGTCATAGTCTCATCTTTGTATTCTGGCGCAGAGTGAGGCCGCACAGCTAAGCGAAAGAGGAACAGGAAACAAGACAGTGAGAGTCAAGATGTGCGTAGAATTGAACTCTCAAGTTCACCAACCATAAGTGCTGTAAACAACTGAATGTCCTTGCCTTTTTGAGGGGCAATTAGTCACTACAACAAGAATTTCTGAATAGATGACAATGTTAAAGAGAGAAACTAAGTGTTTATCAGCCATTAGTATTGACTACACCCCAGAGAGAATCCTGATGTCATGATCATCAGTCCTGTCCTTTAGACAGAAGCCAACATTCACTGAAGAGACACAGCTCAGCATGGCACTGGAAGGCCAGAAAGCCATCCTTCCAAGTCTAAGAGCCAGCATACACTTCGAGGAGTCCCTGGGTGGTACAGAGAGCAATGCACTTGGCTGTTAACCAAAAGGCTGTGAGGTCCAAGTCCACCCAACCTCAACTTCCAAAACCCATCAACCATGAGAACCCCATGGAGCACAAGTCTACTCTGGCACACGTAAGTTGGGTTTGACTCATTGGCAACTGTTTTTTTAAACATTTAAAAACACCGGCTTTACTGTGAGTATGTCCTAGTATGGCGCTGTTGGTTAATGCACTGAACTATGAGGTTGGTTTAAACTGCAAGGTTCGCAGTTCAAGCTCACTGCAGCTCCTTAGAAACCCTATACGGGGTTGCTATGAGTCAGAACCAACTCAATGGCACTTAACAACAATAATAATTCATAAGCCAAGATATGCAGAGTCCCCCAAATCAAGTCCTAACCTTGTTCCTTCAGCACTGTTCCCATCAAGAGGTCACGTGCCGTCAACGCACTGTAGCTGAAGTTCAGAGAACAGAGGACACCAGACCACCTGCATCCCCTCTCCCAACTGCAGTGAACTCAGCAACCACCACAACCACACTGAGGACTAAGGAAGGAGGCGGGGTGCTTGAACGGGCACCATGACATAGCACGCACAAGTTTTGAAACTCCTCCTGCCGATCTAGCCCGCAGTAGGGAAAGGCAGACAAAGCGCTTCAAACAGTATTTTGAAACTTCCCCTTAGGTTAATTAATGATTAGGTTAATTGATTCGGGTCTGTTTTTATGGATGGTACAGGTAGGAGAACCATGGGAGAGAAATGGAGGGTGACGAATCACTGTGGCAGACATACCCAGGTCTATCCCTTTCAATGGGCCAGAGAATATTTTGATAGCTTCAAGATATTTCTCCTAAAAAAGAAAGAAACAAGCAGTTACGGTGGCACAAATGCAGAACACAGCAAAGTATGCAAGTCTGAGTAACTGTTACCATGACTAATTGCAACTGTGACAATTGAAGAAGTAGAAGTTTTATAACAAAATCGGGGGAGTAGTTAAGCTTACATTCCAGGAACAGAGGACCTGAAGACCATCAAGGGAGAAGAGCATGAGCTGAATGTGGGACTCTATCCAGAGAAGCAGTGACACCAGAGATGGACGCAGAGATGAGGACATGGAGAGAGGGAGCAGCTGAGGACTTAGACTCATGGAAAGAGAGGAACTGAGAGCTGACAGCCAGGAGGAAGGCTTACAGAATGTGCCCTTTGGTTGTTTAAATGATTATATATTCGGTTTTTGTGTACATCCCCCGACCCTAAACAAAACAAAAGAAGGGAATAGACGCAAATACTGTTGAACGATGATGTACGGAGCAGACTGTACTCATTGCAATGAAACGATGGTGTAAAAACCGATACTCTCCCATGTAAACTATCAGTCAATTCACAATAAAAAAAAAGTATGCAAGGCCATAGATAGGTACCAATATAAAACGACTTTCAATAAATATTTTGAACTTCATTTATACAAACATGAAGACAAGTCAAAAAGTA